TTTGTAAAGTGATTCGCGCATGATCAGTTTGCCCCATTTATCTCTGAACATATTTGTAAGGCAATTTCTCCAAGAATTTTAACGGATTTGAGTTTCAAATTAGTGTTGGAGTTTTTGAAGCCGTTTAAAACCTTCGCCTCGAATCTTTATACCTGATAAAACACTCTCTCTCGTGTTTTAAACTAAGGCTTAAAATCAATGGTATGTGGTCCGGTCATTTCCAGTGAGAATGCTACCCATTTTGTTATATTATTATATTGATTAAATCATTTGGAGATTAGTATAACAATAGGGACTAATTATATCATGATCAGTACAAAAGAACTGTTTGCGAGGAATATTAATAGCTGAAGGATTTGACGCCATCTTGTTTTTTTTTTTAATTTCGTTCTTATTTTGATTGAAATTGTCTTCATTATTCTCATTTTAATCCATTTCCTTTTTAGCTTGAAATTGATGGAAACAGCGATACAACAACGGTCGTTACATACACTCTTAGCAATCCCATTCACGCTCGTTATATTCGAGTTGTTGTTGTACAATCTAATGGTTGGCCTTCTATGAGGATTGAGCTCTATACAGTTCTTTAGTAATCGCCGTTTATTTTCTTCATATTCATTTGAAAATTTTAGTGAATCAGTTAGTCAATCAACTGAGCAAGTAATCAATCGATTAATCAATCAAATCGTTTTGAAATATAACTATCACCCTTCAATAAGGATCGAGCTTTATACCCGCAATGTATAGCGGGTAGTTGACGGGTCCAAGCCGATTCCTCAGTGCATACATGCAGTGACGGTAACCAGGACATTACGCAGCAAGGACTCTGGACAAAAACTGAAACTCTACTTACACTAAATTTACTGCACCACCAGATATAGATATAGAGCACAAATGTAATAAAAGAAATAAACCTCCGAATTCACCAATCCGAATGCCCCTCATGCCATTAGGCACGTTGGCATATGAAAAACAAAAGGTTTCGCGCACTGCATGAAGTATCTATAATCGCGAGTATTCACTATTATTAGAATTTTTATTGCATTGAAAAGTCCCACTTCCCTATTGGTCTTATATTAATTATCCTTAAGTACTCCTGATGGGAATTCCATAACATGCATAGTACCTTTCGGCACGGATGTATTTTGTGTTTTCTTTTTGCTATTTTTGAACATCACACTCTACTCATTCTCGAAAGGTAAGTTAATATGAACAAAAATTTATCAATCACTTCAATGGTTTGAAAATTCCACTAAAATATCTTCACTTTTAAATCCGAACACCTTTACATTCAATCACAGCTAGCTGTGAGAGTACGCCGGGTGGACAACAAGAAGGAAGAGAGTTTTCTTTCTCTTTCTTTAATCTATTTAATTCCCCGCTTATTGGTAGGCTTTCAAATAGCTCATGATAATTGTTCGTAATAACGAATTATTGTTTTTTTCAACTCCGACGAATCTTGGATATAGGGAGACAATAGAAACAATAATACTGGAGTATTGATATACAGCCTCGGATATATCATATAAGCTTAATTTTCTTTTTCCAAAGCTTTAAAATTTCTTTTCAATGTTTATGGCCAATACTTATATTGTATCGTTTTTACCAGGGCAAATAGCTCTGATCTAATGTGAGGCAATATGGACCTCATATTGTCAACGACATTATTGACGTATTCCGTTTTCAAAATCGAGAAATATATTCGAACGCATTCACCGCTTCTTGTTTTAATAATCCGTCAAAATAGTTTGTGGATGGAGAAATTCTTAGCAAAGGTTTTCGTAACTTCTTGTATGTCAAGGTTTGATCCTTATTAATCATGTATGATTGTTTATCAGCTAAACCGAGAAGTAATGTTTCCAAAATTCCCAAACGTTGTTATTGCTATGATTATTGTTCCTACGATTCGTACGGCCTGTTCCCTTGTGTACTTCTAAAAACTGGTGGACTTGAAATAATTATACGAGATCTTTACTTTACATTCGTAATTATACGATCACAAGTAAGTTTGTTGTACTTGCTTTAACATGTAACAATTTGTTGTACTGAGCATTTTATTGTATTTGACTCGCATCCAATAAACGGAATCAGAATCGATATGAATGTAAAGGTGGAATGTGAAATAGTGTCGGCTCGCGCGCATATTTCCCAATTCTTTGCGGTGTTATCATGATTGACAGGTGATAAAGGTTGCCGAGATCTCGATTTTCTTCGTTGTCATGCCAACAAGACTCTAAAAGATCACGTGATCAGATCGCTACGTGTGTCGTCACCTGCGAAGCCAAATTGTCAGCACGCGTGCTTTGTGGAGGAACAGTGCAACTCGTACAACTTGGGAAAGGAGCTCGACGACAAGTCTTGTGAATTGAACAATGCTGATCACTTATCAGACCCTGATGACCTGGTACCTAGCGCAGGGACTCATTATTGCCCCATTAAGGTAATGGGAGAGCCTACGTAGCACTCATTTGATGTAATATATTCATAAAGATATAATACAAAACRCATAAWACAATAGAACRASRAACAATGGAATACAATACATTTTATGAATACATTACATCAACTGCGTGCTACGATTCAATGCACTTTCGGTGTCACGTGGTTGAAGCTCATGTTTGTATTTTTGTTGAAACAGAATCCATGTGCATCAGAGCCATGCCGTGCCGCTGGCAAAGTTTGTCTTCCAGACTTTGCGTGGAATACCTACCATTGCAAAGGTACAGTAGATTGATTGATTTTCCTTTAATTTCGTCCCACATGGTTGAGTGTCTCATTCTTGATGATCATTGATTCCTGTAGATGGCAAGTGGTCTAAATGGAGCGCATGGTCGGAATGTCGGTGCTTTAATCGAGCTCGTTCACGTGAATGCAAGAATCCGCTGACCAAACAAACAGCAACTGATTGCAATGGACCAAAGACACAGAATGAGAAATGCCAACATAAGATAGGTAAATAGCAAACTTTATCACTAACAATTTGTAACTCATTCCTTTAATTAATATCAATTTAGAATGCGTCTTGCCACTTGGAATGCAAGATAGAACAATACCAGATGATCAAATCACGGCGTCGTCCATTTATAAATWTCGGGGAGGCCGGGTAGCCGATGGATGTAGGCCAGCAAAAGGTCGTCTTAACCAATGTTGTCGCCAAGCTTGGTGTGCAGAGAAGGCTTCACCTGGAGAGTATCTACAAGTTGATTTAGGATCAGTCAAGAAAATTGACAAGGTACTGGCGGAATGCATTCGCTTGATGGCTGTTACATGATAAGCAATGATGGAGGAAAATTCATTTCCGTCAGTCATATCGGCCGTTGACCGCATCGGCCGTCCGCTTTATGAAGGTGCATGGTCATTGGTCATTCCGAAATTCAAAAGGAGGAACGAGTGTGAAAATATTACATTCGTCGAAAACTGAACCTCGCCACATGAAAAATCACACTAAAATAAGCGTTCTTGTCAAGTTTGAGCATATTTTGTAATTTGTAAGTCTGAGAGAATGTATTGTTTTTGGGGACGCTGTTCAAAACCTCCATACATTCTTTGCAATTTTTTCGAGTTTTAAAGCGCTTGAAACTCTGTAATTATTAATCCGAATGCACTCAAACTCAACAGCTTTACTATTTTTAGTATGCTCTTTCTTGTCCTGGTGTCCGTTTTATGATTGCTTCAAACGGTATCGAGTTTGTGACTAGTCACCAGTCCCTTTTTGAATTTCTGAACGGGGAATTGTGAAATTGAACTAGCGGACTAATTGTCCTCGTCATGTTTTCTCTAGATAGCAACGCAAGGACACGACGGCCCTATTACTAAAAATTACGTCACCAAGTACGAGTTGCATTATTCAAATGATACTAACGCTTGGCAGAAGTACCCAGTAAGTAATTAAAACCTCAATTATACAATGATGACGGACGATGAATAAGCTAAAACTATGAAAATTTCGATCCGTTTACCCCAGGGACTCCCCTTCCCCGGGGTTTAATAGTCCGTCAGTCAGACCGCTACTCCGCTACAAATAGAAGCATCGTTGTTACAGTGACGGATCCAGGATTTTTCTAAGGGGGGGTTCCACTTTGTTTTCGCATTTTCCTGAAACGAACTTTTTTACTGTTCCTATCGAACTGTAGCAAATGTAGCATGAATGTATTTAATAAAACTTCATTGTACAATGCGTTTTCATTTTATTTCATTTATCATTTTTTTATGCTTGAGAGGGTTTCTAGGAACCCATGGAACCCCCTGGATCCGCCACTGTTCTATATTCATGATCGCTTTTCGATATTCTCGGCGTGATTTGTTTTCTTTTTTTAGGTGCAAATTAATGGAAATGTAGATTGGACATCAGTCGTTACATACAGTCTTAGCCCTCCCGTCCAAGCTCGTTATGTTCGAGTTGTTGTTGTACAATTTTCTACGTGGCCTGCTATGAGAGTTGAGCTCTATACAGTTCTTTAGTTAATACAACCATTTATTCTTCATATTCATTTGAAAATGCAATAAGCTAACTGTAATATTATTCGAGCATTTATAAGATATATCAATCAATGTATTAATCAACCAATAAATCAGTTAATTGATTAATCTGTCAATCAATCAATAAATCAGTCAATTTATCAAACTGTCAATCAATAAAACAATACTTCCTATCTGAAACTCTATTGCATTGTGGGTTGATTCTGGGTCGCAATGCATTCTGGGTAAATTTAATGGCGGACAAGCAACAAGATGCCAAATCCTACAGCAAGCGCCAACTCTGCCAATGATCCACGTCGTCCAAATAAGATATTTAGATATAAACCTTTAGCCAACAAAGCCACAGATGATCCAACTCCCGATTATATGAATCTCCTTGGTATGATTTTCAGTATGTGCGGACTCATGATGAAGGTAAAGCCGACCTTTGCTATTTTTACGTGTGATTCAACCCTCTTCTTTTGTTACAATTTAGCGGTAATTTTACGTGAAAATTCAATTTACTTGTGAATTTATCCATTGATTATAGTCTCCAAATGCTTTGCCACTAAAGTAATGTGAATCTGTGTGAGATTGTAATATTTATTACGTTTTATTTTGGACTGAACTATGGAACTATCGAGGAGTTTTCAGTATTTTATAGCTTGACTTACGACGAAGAAGTATCGAGAAAACACAAAAACTTATATTTGGTTAAGAGCTTATTTTTTAATAAATATTTAAGTTATGTTTTGCTATAGTATCCAAAGATCATCATTGTCGTCGTTTTTGCATGTCTATGATGCTAACTTTGACTTATTACACTTGCTCTTTAGCTAAAATGGGCTGCATGGGCTGCAGTATATTGTTCATTCATCAGTTTTGCCAATGCAAGATCCTCTGAGGACACCAAACAAATGTTTAGTAGTTTTTTGTAAGTATAATTTAACAACAAACATGTGATTAGACTATGGAATCTTCATCATTAGTGCTACCATACTAGTGGACTATTGCAAATCCTTCGTTCTACTGTCTACGCTACTCAGAGTCTATTTTTAATAGTCCTCAACAAGCAAAAAGTGACAACTTTTTATGTATTTTTAGCAATAAAACCATTTAGTTAAATATATTTTATTCATTTTTTGTCCCACTAGTATGGCATGCAATGCTAAAACATTGTTAAGTGGTATTATAATAAGTCACAGAATGCTTTATCATCCTCTCTTATCAAGTATCCTTTCAAAGTCATCTTTTGTGTTTATAAAGAAAAGGTTTTTCTTATGTTAAAATGTCTCTTTATCAATGTTTTGTTTATGTTTTTTCCCTTTCTTTTCAGACTTTCTGTATCAGCAGTTGTGATGTCATATTTACAGAATCCTCAACCAATGGCAGCATCCTGGTGACACAGGCTAAAACCACCATTCCTTTCTCTATTCAATGAAATCAAATGTGACAACTTAAAATATATATTTCAGGAACTTAAGAATAAAAATAATTTCAAATATTGTTACACTTGTTAAAGATTCTGCAAGTTCAACAAAGGACATCGTTTGTTGTTCCCTGGAAAAGATATGAAATCTTCTTTAGGTGCTGCTCTATTTACTGGCAGTTTTTACTGCAAAAAAGACTTATATGACCTACAAGTTTTGAAATTTGTTTGCCAGATTTTGGTTATTAAAACTCTTTAAAAACACTTTAATTCAGCTTCGAACATACTTCAAAATGTTGAGGTCACAATGCAAGTTGTTTTGATGTAATCCATCTTTTTATCACAACTGTTACACAAGAAACACCAACACTATGACACTTGTCCTCTGCTGTCCTTCAAAAGACAACCAATAAATTCACACTCTTTTTTTCAATGTTAAATGAATGTTTTTTTCTCATTATAGGGTCTTATAGCTATTTCACAAGAACCAATAACCCAGCCCACACTATCATTAGCTAGTAACTTTTTTTTCTTCATCTATTTGATGCTCAATGTACAAAGGTAACTCAGAAGGGAAATTACAAACCCACAAAAGTGTTTAAACAAACACAAATCTGTTTCTCTATTAGGCTCTTTTACTGCCACACATGAAGTGAAATCATTGTGTATTGACTGAATAAACTACGTTAATCCTCTGTATAGCTCCCAGTGAAGTCCTATACTCGAGAGTTTTTAAAAACGTTTGGAAAAAGAATGAAGATACAACGTTATAATCATCAAGAACGAATATGTTTGTCTTTGAGATTATAAACTTTTTGCTTGTTAATCTGAAACTACTGTAAAGTATTGATTTTGGGGGATGAGGTCTCTAGGCAACAAGGAAATGGATGAGACCTCAGTTGACTTACATTCAAATATGCCAGTTTTCAAATAAAGTAAAAAAAAATTGACGGTGGATTATTATTTAGATCGCAAAATAAATATAAAAGCTAGAAGACTTAATATATTGTTTAAAAAAAATGCAAGGTAAGTTGTGCTTAATTAATCACATAAATATTGCTTTGATTATACAAAAATATACGTATTTCTAGTTTTCCAGTGGTTATACCTTTTTGAAGCGAGTACAAAACGTTCGCATTGTAAACATTTATTCAGTTGTGACAATCTCAAATAACCAAGTACAAATTAATTGTCTTTTCATATCAACACTGTTCCCAATTAGTACATAATATGTATCGACCATTGCCCAATTGTTGGGTTAATAAAGCTACAAAAAAACTAGCTTTAAATTGACATTGATTAGTACGTAATGAAATTGTTGTTGTCGTTGTTTGCACTGCTCGGAGCAACCCATTCCACGTTGAAGGTGCTTGCTATTGATTATCTTCTACTAATCTAGTTAGCAGAGCTAACGCTCGAAATCGGCACCAAAATGAAGAACTTGTTGTTGCTGCTGTTCTTTGTTGGTCCTGCGACTTACAGGTAAAAGAACAATATGGTAATGGTTTTAATTGTTCATCTCCTTTTTAAATTGTTGTTCAGCTTATGTCTTTAAAGTATGGATCCTAAAGAACTTATTTGAATTGCCGGAGTTATAAACTCTTTAAGTCCCGTATTTTTTTATGATTTTATGTACGTCTAAAACAGTATGCTGTCTACCTTTCACCTTCATTTCTCAGACTCGCCCTTCTCTTTTTCATGTCCAATAGTGTCTAGTTGCTATCTTTCTTTTTTAAAGTTTATTGGTTTCTCTTCTTTTAAGAATTAAAATTCCATCCTCCTTTTATTTTAATATCATCTTTTCCTGTTAAGTTCTTAAGTAAAAAATATTTTTATTCTTTACACTTCAAGCGCTGGACTCGAACTAGTGTGAAATCCAAGATGCTATTTACGGTCCCGAAATGCACAAAAATAGGCATTCAACATAGCTAGAAAAAGGTTTAAGTTAACCCGCGATAGCCGCGTTTAATATCAATTGCTAAAATGGTGACAACTAGTGGTAAACTAGTGTTAGCTGCGTCGGTGTTTCTAAAGGTTGCTAAAGACTTCCTTATCGCGCGCACAAAACACAAGATCAGGTGGTGTGAACATAATAGCTATAACTATTAACACACCTAGTTAGATTACTACTGGTTCAACTCGTCAACGCGCGCAGATCTCGAAATATTGATTTGATCAGTCACAGTAAACCGCAATGACACTTCTTTTCCAGGATGGTGGAGAGCTCTAGTGGAGGTCAGTAAAGCTGCTTCAATATGACATCGATCAATTGTTTGAGTAAAGTAGTTTTAAATAACAAATCATTATCTTCATTTCAAAAAACAAATACAGTACACTGTACATTGTTGGTATTGTTAAGCGAGTCGCTGGGGCAACCGTGATTTTTTTCTATTCATTTTCGAGAACAAAGTGTTTATTTCTATAAAAAAGTTTCAAGGAAATTATAAGGCATATCTCATATACAGTTACTTATAAAAAAAATTCTCTCCGCGTTGACTTTTTCGTATACGACTTATTATTCTGATTTATTTTGTAGTTTGTGCTCAGTGATTGCAGTATTGAGGACTGGACATGAGCTACAGTTAAGACCTCTCTATTAAATCTAAAAAGTTTCTTTTGTTTTCAGCCAATTGTGGTGTCTTAACCAGGAGTCGATCTTGCTGTGTTTTCCCGTTCGTTTACAGAGGAAAACAATACTTCAGCTGCATCAAAGGACGTTCTTCGTGGTGCTCTATCACACCTAACTATGATATAGATGGCAAATGGGATTACTGTGCCGGTAAGACAATTCTCCTCAACCACACCCCCAAAGGTGCTTCAATCCAGCCACTCCCATTTTTCTTCCAGTGAGTTTTCATTTAGCTAAAAGATCTCGATATCGCAATTGTATCTTTATTTATTTATTTAGGAATGGAGGGTAAGATCACGTTGGATGATCAAGGCTGGGTTTATGCAAATGGTCGACCAATGACCAGAGACAACGGACGGTGGAATGTCATTCAAGAGTGAGGAAATATTGCTTCTTTATAAAATTTTTAACAATAAGTTGGTTAGACGAGGATGAGAAATTAGAAAGCATCGATAGACATAAAGCCAGATACTAATATATTGATATTCAATGAACACATACAGCCTTTTGCAAAAATTATGAGAATTGTTGAAATATCTAAATATCATAATATCAAGTGCATGATCCCGCGCGATGGCCTTAGTCYCTTGTCTTTGTTGTTTAGTTTTTTTGGCGACAGACTTATCCGTAGTTCTGAACATTTTCTCGATGTAAACAATGAATTATTCTAGTAATACCATGATCACCTCGGATTCCATTGTCTTCCGAGGGGTTTACAAACCCGAATTTCCCTCATGAATAACATGAGGGAAATTTAGAAGACAAAGGATTCTTTTGTCTTTTACTAAATTTCCCTCTATTTAATTAATGCAAG